TCCACCCAGAGGCTACTCCACCTCTGCTGCTGTGACCTGCTCCACCCAGAGGCTACTCCACCTCTGCTGCGGGCGGCACGGTGGCTGAGTGGATAGCACTCTCGCCTCTCAGCAAGAAGGTCCTGGGTTCGAATCCCAGTTGGACCAGGGCCTTTCTGAGTGGAGTTTGCATGTTCTCCCTGTGTCTGCGTAGGTTTCCTCCGGGTGCTCCGGTTTCCCCTACCACTAAAAATATGTACAATAGGTCTGGCATGTGCCTCCTGTACTGGCCCCACTCCCAAAAATAACAATTGTAAACCGCTTTGAGACTCCGATGTGCAGTGAAAAGGCGGTATATAAATAAAGGTTACTACTACTGCTGCTGTGACCTGCTCCACCCAGAGGCTACTCCACCTCTGCTGCTGTGACCCGTCCTGCTCCACCCAGAGGCTACTCCACCTCTGCTGCTGTGACCTGCTCCACCCAGAGGCTACTCCACCTCTGCTGCTGTGACCTGCTCCACCCAGAGGCTACTCCACCTCTGCTGCTGTGACCTGCTCCACCCAGAGGCTACTCCACCTCTGCTGCTGTGACCTGCTCCACCCAGAGGCTACTCCACCTCTGCTGCTGTGACCTGCTCCACCCAGAGGCTACTCCACCTCTGCTGCTGTGACCTGCTCCACCCAGAGGCTACTCCACCTCTGCTGCTGTGACCCGTCCTGCTCCACCCAGAGGCTACTCCACCTCTGCTGCTGTGACCTGCTCCACCCAGAGGCTACTCCACCTCTGCTGCTGTGACCTGCTCCACCCAGAGGCTACTCCACCTCTGCTGCTGTGACCCGTCCTGCTCCACCCAGAGGCTACTCCACCTCTGCTGCTGTGACCTGCTCCACCCAGAGGCTACTCCACCTCTGCTGCTGTGACCTGCTCCACCCAGAGGCTACTCCACTTCTGCTGCTGTGACCTGCTCCACCCAGAGGCTACTCCACCTCTGCTGCTGTGACCTGCTCCACCCAGAGGCTACTCCACCTCTGCTGCTGTGACCTGCTCCACCCAGAGGCTACTCCACCTCTGCTGCTGTGACCTGCTCCACCCAGAGGCTACTCCACCTCTGCTGCTGTGACCTGCTCCACCCAGAGGCTACTCCACCTCTGCTGCTGTGACCTGTCCTGCTCCACCCAGAGGCTACTCCACCTCTGCTGCTGTGACCTGCTCCACCCAGAGGCTACTCCACCTCTGCTGCTGTGACCTGCTCCACCCAGAGGCTACTCCACCTCTGCTGCTGTGACCCGTCCTGCTCCACCCAGAGGCTACTCCACCTCTGCTGCTGTGACCTGCTCCACCCAGAGGCTACTCCACCTCTGCTGCTGTGACCTGTCCTGCTCCACCCAGAGGCTACTCCACCTCTGCTGCTGTGACCTGCTCCACCCAGAGGCTACTCCACCTCTGCTGCTGTGACCTGCTCCACCCAGAGGCTACTCCACCTCTGCTGCTGTGACCTGTCCTGCTCCACCCAGAGGCTACTCCACCTCTGCTGCTGTGACCCGTCCTGCTCCACCCAGAGGCTACTCCACCTCTGCTGCTGTGACCTGCTCCACCCAGAGGCTACTCCACCTCTGCTGCTGTGACCTGTCCTGCTCCACCCAGAGGCTACTCCACCTCTGCTGCTGTGACCCGTCCTGCTCCACCCAGAGGCTACTCCACTTCTGCTGCTGTGACCTGCTCCACCCAGAGGCTACTCCACCTCTGCTGCTGTGACCTGTCCTGCTCCACCCAGAGGCTACTCCACCTCTGCTGCTGTGACCTGCTCCACCCAGAGGCTACTCCACCTCTGCTGCTGTGACCTGTCCTGCTCCACCCAGAGGCTACTCCACCTCTGCTGCTGTGACCTGTCCTGCTCCAACCAGAGGCTACTCCACCTCTGCTGCTGTGACCCGTCCTGCTCCACCCAGAGGCTACTCCACCTCTGCTGCTGTGACCCGTCCTGCTCCACCCAGAGGCTACTCCACCTCTGCTGCTGTGACCTGTCCTGCTCCACCCAGAGGCTACTCCACCTCTGCTGCTGTGACCCGTCCTGCTCCACCCAGAGGCTACTCCACCTCTGCTGCAGTGACCTGTCCTGCTCCACCCAGAGGCTACTCCACCTCTGCTGCTGTGACCTGTCCTGCTCCACCCAGAGGCTACTCCACCTCTGCTGCTGTGACCCGTCCTGCTCCACCCAGAGGCTACTCCACCTCTGCTGCTGTGACCCGTCCTGCTCCACCCAGAGGCTACTCCACCTCTGCTGCTGTGACCTGAGGCTGTTGCTGATTATTACAATTTTTAACTTTTTAGAAAGACCTATTTTATTTTTTTATTTTTGCTGCTACTGGATGCCTAAATTTCTCCTACAGGGATCAATAAAGCATCTATCTATCTATATATCTACGTCTACATCAGAGAATACTGCTTGTTTATATTAAAAGCACTTAGAAGAACCCGACCTTTATGGACATGGGTCTCTGCAGTGTGTGAGAAACCTGTCATTATTCAGGGGTCTTTAATCTTGCTCTCACACTTCACTTGCTGCAGAGAATGTAAAAACTGCAGTGATGACAGAAGGGTCCGGCAGTGACAGCCTCAGTGAGACAGACTTCTACTTCCATCATAGAAAACAGTGTCTTACCATAAGTCAAAATACACCTAATGTGCCTCGGCTGCACTTCTTTTTAAGTCTTTCCCGGTTTCCAGGAAGAAGAGGCGATGTTCTACCCTGGTCTTACCATTGTGTAAACTCTGGTCCATGGTCATCTCCTACATGTACGTCTGGTCTTACCATGTGTAAACTCTGGTCCATTATCATCTCCTACATGTACGTCTGGTCTTACCATGTGTAAACTCTGGTCCATGGTCATTTCCTACATATACGTCTGGTCTTACCATGTGTAAACTCTGGTCCATGATCATTTCCTACATGTACGTCTGGTCTTACCATGTGTAAACTCTGGTCCATGGTCATTTCCTACATGTACGTCTGGTCTTAATATGTGTAAACTCTGGTCCATGATCATTTCCTACATGTACGTCTGGTCTTACCATGTGTAAACTCTGGTCCATGATCATTTCCTACATGTACGGTAAACTCAGATACAATCGTTTCAATCTGCAAAAGGAGTTAGCCCCTCCCACCTGTTAACGGAGTCAATGGAGCAGATCCAGACCTTAGTATGGAATGAAACCAGTACCATGGTGCGGTAAGACCAGGGTAGCAACGTCCGTTTAGGTTCTCTAACATGGAGAGAATATGTGTGACTCGGAGTGGGCCTACCGCACCAGCAGCTCGGTCTAATTATGTATTTTATTCTTCTCTCATTGTAGGAAAGATCTTGATGTAGCTGGCGCTGTATAAAGAGAGACGCTCACATCCTGAACCATTTTGCTTAAAAGGCAGATAAATGTGTAGTTCTGGATCACGGAGAGTAATGAGGTGGGTCTGTGTGAACGGACGGAGGATTCCAGCGGCTGCAGATGTGTTTGTGGAATAGATTTATGCTAACGGGGCCAGTGCAAATAACTTATGCTCCAGGACACGCTGCTAAAGATGAACTCTTCTCTGACAAGTGGTGGATAAACGCTGCCATTGATTGGTCCGTCGTCCATAATGTATCTGACGGGAATAGAACCACGAGCGCCGTCAATGAGGCAGAAAACTGGGCCTGAATCATGGACGCACAACACGGTGTTGTCGAGTCGGAAAGAGACGATTCAGACGTTTGTGACGAGTTTACAGAGTCATACATTCTCTGGGTTTGGGTTTCCAACATTAGTTTACAGTATTATCACAGTATTATTTAAAGAACACACATTTCTATAAAGGATCGTAAACATACTTAGAGTTGGAACTATGTGGACAAGAGTATATTTGTTTGTTAAAGACCTCGCGCTAGCATCATAAGCTACATTTAGCTTGTATTTATATATATAGCATCATAAGCTACATTTAGCTTGTATTTTAGTAATGCAGTGAGATACTTTAGAGACAGACTTTGAAATAACAGTCATACATCAAGAATTATGTTTGTGATGTCACATGACCAACTGTGATGTTGTTTTACATCCATTTCTATCCGTCAGATTTGATCCAGACGTTTCCTTTTCGTCCAGAGCGTTGCTGCTGCACCTCTGAGCCTCTGTCTCTGTTCGACCATGAAAACTATTATTTGTGCGAGGAGCCAAAGCGAACATGAACTTTATTTGGCCTTTAGCTGCTCCCAAACTCCACGGAAGAATTGGGACAAGAATGTTCAGCACATTTCAGACAGAGCCATGAAAGTTTGATACGTCTGCAGCAGAAACAGAACATATTTAACTCATCCTCAGCCTGAGCTCTAACCCTGAAGCCCGAGGTCCTCTATATACCTACTTATATAATAATAATATTAATAATCATGTATTTGTTTCCTACACCACTTTTCTTTCACTGCAAACACGGTGGTGATTAACTACTACTGTAGCCACACCTGCCCTGAGGCACACTGACAGAAGCGAGGCAGTCTGTGCCATTGGCCCTTCACAGCCGCAGCCGCCCCACTGTGGTCTCCCATCCAGCCTGTGCTGACATGCTGCAATCTCACTCCCGGTGGGGGTGTACCCGGAAAGAGAATTACCAAATACTTTTGTATGGTGTCTTCTTTCAATCTTTTCTTGCCCCACGGCCATTTTGAAAATGTCCACAGAAGCCAAAAGTGATGGCACATTACAGTAGTTTCAACAACGGATATAGGCGTGACTACATGCCAGACCAGGCCCTGCCAGACCAGGCCCTGCCAGACCAGGCCCTGCCAGACCAGGCCCTGCCAGACCAGGCCCTGCCAGACCAGGCCCTGCCAGACCAGGCCCTGCCAGACCAGGCCCTGCCAGACCAGGCCCTCCCAGACCAGGCCCTGCCAGACCAGGCCCTGCCAGACCAGGCCCTGCCAGACCAGGCCCTGCCAGACCAGGCCCTGCCAGACCAGCTACATCTTTCTCTGAAGTGTTCTCACCGAGGACGCGCTCCCCCAGACCTCCCAGCTCCATGTAGGCGTCTTGGAACGAGTCCCTCCAGGCGTCGTCCAGAGGAACCTCCTGTCCCTGCAGCATGATGGAGGAGCATCTACAACACAGAGAACACAGAACACAGAGCATGATGGAGGAGCATCTACAACACAGAGAACACAGAGAACACAGAGCATGAAGGAGGAGCATCTACAACACAGAGAACACAGAGCACACAGAGCATGATGGAGGAGCATCTACAACACAGAGAACACAGAGCACACAGAGCATGATGGAGGAGCATCTACAACACAGAGAACACAGAGAACACAGAGCATGAAGGAGGAGCATCTACAACACAGAGAACACAGAGCACACAGAGCATGATGGAGGAGCATCTACAACACAGAGAACACAGAGAACACAGAGCATGATGGAGGAGCATCTACAACACAGAGAACACAGAGAACACAGAGCATGAAGGAGGAGCATCTACAACACAGAGAACACAGAGCACACAGAGCATGATGGAGGAGCATCTACAACACAGAGAACACAGAGCACACAGAGCATGATGGAGGAGCATCTACAACACAGAGAACACAGAGAACACAGAGCATGAAGGAGGAGCATCTACAACACAGAGAACACAGAGAACACAGAGCATGAAGGAGGAGCATCTACAACACAGAGAACACAGAGCACACAGAGCATGAAGGAGGAGCATCTACAACACAGAGAACACAGAGAACACAGAGCATGAAGGAGGAGCATCTACAACACAGAGAACACAGAGAACACAGAGCATGAAGGAGGAGCATCTACAACACAGAGAACACAGAGAACACAGAGCATGAAGGAGGAGCATCTACAACACAGAGAACACAGAGAACACAGAGCATGATGGAGGAGCATCTACAACACAGAGAACACAGAGAACACAGAGCATGATGGAGGAGCATCTACAACACAGAGAACACACAGAGCATGAAGGAGGAGCATCTACAACACAGAGAACACACAGAGCATGAAGGAGGAGCATCTACAACACAGAGAACACAGAGCACACAGAGCATGAAGGAGGAGCATCTACAACACAGAGAACACACAGAGCATGAAGGAGGAGCATCTACAACACAGAGAACACAGAGCACACAGAGCATGAAGGAGGAGCATCTACAACACAGAGAACACACAGAGCATGAAGGAGGAGCATCTACAACACAGAGAACACAGAGCACACAGAGCATGAAGGAGGAGCATCTACAACACAGAGAACACACAGAGCATGAAGGAGGAGCATCTACAACACAGAGAACACAGAGCACACAGAGCATGAAGGAGGAGCATCTACAACACAGAGAACACACAGAGCATGAAGGAGGAGCATCTACAACACAGAGAACACAGAGCACACAGAGAAAACAAAGACAGAGCAGCTGCAATAAGTACTGTAGCTTTAATCCATACAATAAAACAGTGATAGAGTCACACACACACACACAGAGAGACACAGAGACACACACACACACACAGAGACAAACACACACACACAGAGACACAGAGACACACACACACACACAGACACACACACACAGAGAGCGACACAGAGACACACACACACACAGAGAGACAAACACACACACACAGAGACACAGAGACACACACACACACACAGAGAGACACACACACACATACAGAAACACACATACAGAGACACAGACACACACACAGAGACACACACATACAGACACAGACACACAGAGACACACACATACAGAGACACACACACACAGAGACACACACAGAGACACACACAGAGACACACACAGACACACATACAGAGACACACATACAGACACACACACAGAGACACACACACAGACACACAGAGACACACACACACACACAGACAGACACACACAGACACACACTCACACACAGACAGGCACACAGACACACATACAGAGACACACACACACACACACAGACACACACACACTCACACAGAGAGACACACACAGACACACACACACACAGAGAGACACACACACACACACACACACAGAGACACACATACAGAGACACACACACAGACACACACACACAGAGACACACACACACAGACACACACACACACAGACACACACACAGAGACACACACACACACAGACACACACACAGAGACACACATACAGACACACACACAGAGACACACACAGAGACACACACACAGACACACACACATACAGAGACACACACACACAGACACACACACAGAGACACACACAGACACACACACACAGACACACACACAGAGACACACACACACACAGACACACACACAGAGACACACATACAGACACACACACAGACACACACACACAGACACACACACATATAAAGACACACACACACAGAGACACACACAGACACACAGACACACACACACACAGACACACACACATACAGAGACACACACAGTAGTAGTTTATCACCATATGTCATAATGACAAGTGAAGAGACTTTGAGAGTCCAAAGGAAACATTATATAAAATCAATGTACAATAATAATAATAATAATAATTATTATTATTGTTGTTATTATTAAATGCAGAACTCTCCTTCTCTGTAAGACAACATTTCCATTGGACACATTCCAACACCACAGTCTCCGCAGCAGCAGAAGTCCCTGATGGAGGCGTGGACGGAGCTAAAAACAACCCCAGGTGTGTTTTGGACGAGCTTCCAGTGTCGTACCAGTGTCTAATTATAAATATAAAAACATGATGTTTGAATGTAAACAGTAGCAGCTGCATCTTTAAAAACACAGTTCTTTAGTCTGTCTCTGATCCACTGAGGAGGGTCCGCTGGGGGTCCTCCTCTGAGAACTCTAGTTTTCAGATTATAAGTCACAGTTTCTGTCATTCTTGAATTTCATTTCAAAAGGTTTCATTGTATTTAGTGATTCTCAGCGACACTGAATCTAAACCTGCAGCATGTTCTACAGCAGGGGTCGGTAACCCTCTTTAGGGCCCCTCCAGTGGCTCCTGGAGTCTGGGAGTGGGAGGGCTTTACTTTATTTCTAGTTTCAATGTGGTTTCTTTTGGAGGAACAACATTCTTAACGTTTAACAAAGCAGTAAAAATGTACATAAGAAATATTCAATTTCAACATTTCTGTCAACTGAGATTTGCGACGCGTGGTTAAACTTAAAGCATTGATGGTGTAGCAGAGTAGTCACATGGTGCTCCTGCTCCTGCACTACAGTGAAAATACATATAATAATCATGAATACATATGTATTTGTAGCCTACACTGACTCATGTTGATGCTAGGCTAATGCTAGGCTAATGCTAGGCTAATGCTAGGCTAATGCTAGGCTAATGCTAGGCTATTACAGCTCACAGCCTGTGCTGCTTTCATAAAAGCCTTACACAAGGTCACGTTTATCCTGTTTGGACTCTTTAGTCATGTAACGACAACAAACCACGGTCTCAGATCTGTTTATGTGTCATATCACAAACACTTATTCAGCGTTTGTTCTGTTTCATTCTTTTTTAAATTTCCTCAAGATGAAATGTCTATTTTTGGTGTTGGGTAAATTTCTCAAAAGAAGAAGAAGTTTGTTTTCTTCTGATTTTTGGTTGATGCAATTTATAATCCAAAAAAATACAGCATGTAATCTTTATTAATCAAGCACAACTAATCACTTCGATTCAACCTTTTCCACCTTTCTGTGTAGAGTTTGCATGTTCTCCCTGTGCCTGTGTAGGTTTCCTCCAGGTGCTCCGGTTTCATGTACAGTAGGTCTGACATTGTGACTCTGGTCCGTGAAAAGCGCTACACAAATAAAGATGACTTACTTATTTATATTTCTGACTCTCCCATGTAAACACAGACCCATGTGGGCCAGTGCGTGCCACTTCCCCTGCCACCCTATGAAAAACACATCCTGTTCTTCTGATCATCTCTGTCTCTTTAACACCTTTGCTGGAGGCGTCTTCACATTAATGAGCTGAGTCTATAAATAACAGGAGGAGAGAAGAGACATATGGAGAGACCCAGCGAGACCCAGCAAGACCCAGCAAGACCGAGCGAGACCCAGGGAGACCCAGCGAAACCCAGCGAGACCCAGCAAGACCGAGCGAGACCCAGGGAGACCCAGCGAGACCCAGCAATACCGAGCGAGACCCAGCGAGACCAAGCGAGACCCAGCGAGGCCCAGCGAGACCCAGCAATACCGAGCGAGACCCAGCGAGACCAAGTGAGACCCAGCGAGGCCCAGCGAGACCCAGCAATACCGAGCGAGACCCAGCGAGGCCCAGCGAGCCCCAGCCAGGCCCAGGGAGACCCAGCAAGACCCAGCGAGACCCAGCGAGGCCCAGCGAGGCCCAGCGAGGCCCAGCGAGGCCCAGCGAGGCCCAGGGGAGACCCAGCGAGACCCAGCGAGACCCAGCAAGACCGAACGAGACCCAGGGAGACCCAGCGAGACCCAGCGAGACCGAGCGAGACCCAGGGAGACCCAGCCAGACCCAGCAATACCGAGCGAGACCCAGGGAGACCCAGCGAAACCCAGCGAGACCCAGCAAGACCGAGCGAGACCCAGGGAGACCCAGCGAGACCCAGCAATACCGAGCGAGACCCAGCGAGACCAAGCGAGACCCAGCGAGGCCCAGCGAGACCCAGCAATACCGAGCGAGACCCAGCGAGACCAAGTGAGACCCAGCGAGGCCCAGCGAGACCCAGCAAGACCCAGCAAGAACCCAGCGAAACCCAGCGAGACCCAGCAAGACCGAGCGAGACCCAGGGAGACCCAGCGAGACCCAGCAATACCGAGCGAGACCCAGCGAGACCAAGCGAGACCCAGCGAGGCCCAGCGAGACCCAGCAATACCGAGCGAGACCCAGCGAGACCAAGTGAGACCCAGCGAGGCCCAGCGAGACCCAGCAATACCGAGCGAGACCCAGCGAGGCCCAGCGAGCCCCAGCCAGGCCCAGGGAGACCCAGCAAGACCCAGCGAGACCCAGCGAGGCCCAGCGAGGCCCAGGGGAGACCCAGCGAGACCCAGCGAGACCCAGCAAGACCGAACGAGACCCAGGGAGACCCAGCGAGACCCAGCGAGACCGAGCGAGACCCAGGGAGACCCAGCCAGACCCAGCAATACCGAGCGAGACCCAGGGAGACCCAGCGAAACCCAGCGAGACCCAGCAAGACCGAGCGAGACCCAGGGAGACCCAGCGAGACCCAGCAATACCGAGCGAGACCCAGCGAGACCAAGCGAGACCCAGCGAGGCCCAGCGAGACCCAGCAATACCGAGCGAGACCCAGCGAGACCAAGTGAGACCCAGCGAGGCCCAGCGAGACCCAGCAATACCGAGCGAGACCCAGCGAGGCCCAGCGAGCCCCAGCCAGGCCCAGGGAGACCCAGCAAGACCCAGCGAGACCCAGCGAGGCCCAGCGAGGCCCAGGCCCAGCGAGGCCCAGGGGAGACCCAGCGAGACCCAGCGAGACCCAGCAAGACCGAACGAGACCCAGGGAGACCCAGCGAGACCCAGCGAGACCGAGCGAGACCCAGGGAGACCCAGCCAGACCCAGCAATACCGAGCGAGACCCAGCGAGACCAAGCGAGACCTAACGAGGCCCAGCGAGACCCAACGAGACCCAGCGAGACCCAGCAAGACCCAGCGAGTTTTGGAGAAAGGGCAGATCCAGGACGTGTGGACGAGGGTTTAGTCCGAGGGATCTTAGGGGGGCACGGTGGTTAGCACGAGTAGGTCCTGGGTTCGATTCCACTTCCAGGATTTTCAGATCTGGGGGCGACAGTGGCTCAGTTGGTAGAGCATTGGGATTTGAGCCTGAAGGTCATGGGTTTGAGCCCACCATGAGACCTTCTCCACCGACTCCCACTGATGACTGCTGTCGTTGTGTCCTTGGGCAATACACTTAACCCCACTTTGCCTGAAGCCCCCACTGAAAGATCTCAGCTCCTGTGGACTCAGCTCCTGCAGGAGGATCAGTGAGGGGCTGGGGCTCTGACTGCCACCCCCCGACCCAGACATGGATCAAGGGGAAGAACATGGATGGAAGAGACAGGAAGACAAAGCAGACAAAGCAGACAGAGGAAACACAAGAAGAAAGACAAAGAAGAAGCAGACAATAAAAAACAAATTGTGAAGTTTGTGTAACAGTTGTGATCTAAAAGAGGAGACAGATGGAGCTTCATCTCCTCAGGCAGGTGGGGCAGGTGGTGCATGAGAGACCAGAGAGCGACCAGAGAGAGACCAGAGAGAGACCAGAGAGAGACCAGAGAGAGACCAGAGAGAGACCAGAGAGAGACCAGAGAGAGAGACCAGAGAGAGAGACCAGAGAGAGACCAGAGAGAGAGACCAGAGAGAGACCAGAGAGAGACCAGAGAGAGACCAGAGAGAGAGACCAGAGAGAGACCAGAGAGAGAGACCAGAGAGAGACCAGAGAGAGAGACCAGAGAGAGACCAGAGAGAGACCAGAGAGAGACCAGAGAGAGACCAGAGAGAGACCAGCAGACCTGGCTCTTATGTACAATATATCTGGGGCAGAGAGCAGAGCGGTACGGTGGGACTGAATACAGAAGTGTGTGGATTGTTTTTGCTTTTTAACTATGACCAAACCATAAAACACGTAGTGACAGGTCATAGATAATCCTCCTCATGTACAGCAGGTGTCGATGGTGTCAGCGCTGGTACCTGTCCAGGATCCTCTCTGGCGCCCCCTTCATGACGAGGAGGTGTCCTGCAGAGTTCTCCTCAGACTCGTGGATGGAGAGCTGCAGAGGAACACACGTGTGATTGGATCAGAGGGTCTGCAAGGTTTTGGATCACAGCTCAAAGGGTCTGCAAGGTTTTGGATCACAGCTCAAAGGGTCAGCAAGGTTTTGGATCACAGCTCAAAGGGTCAGCAAGGTTTTGGATCACAGCTCAAAGGGTCAGCAAGGTTTTGGATCACAGCTCAAAGGGTCAGCAAGGTTTGTAAATAGTCGCTAACTTTTCTTCGTAAAAATCTACACACACACACACACACACCCACACACACACACACACACACACACACACACACACACACACACACACACACACACACACACACACACACACACACACACACACACACACACACACACACACACACACACACACACACACACACTATAGTGTTTTTCAGACGAGGTTGAAATGTGTTGATATTTGGCCCAAACTCCCAATATTTGCATTCAGCTGTTTTTGGGGTTTTAGCAGGAAATCTGGTGCTTTGATTCTAAAAAACTTATATTGTAAGAGTTCTGTCATTTACTGTGTTTCTCATATGTTTCTGTCCAAAACAGTGAAGCTTATGACACATTACACAGAGAGAGAAAGAGAGGGAGAGAGGGAGAGATGGAGAGAGAGAGAGAGAGAGAGAGAGAGAGAAAGAGAGAGAGACACTGTCGCTTTAAGAGCCCTTTCTCAGTTCCACCTGTTTCACAAATTTATCATTTCTCCTGTTCCTCTGGAAAAACAAAAGTCATGACTGAACACCCTCACCTTGACGTTCACTCACTCACCCTCTCTCCTTCCTCCCCCCTCTCTCTCCCTCTCTCTCCCTCACCCTCTCCCCTCTCTCCCTCCCCTCCCTCTCTCACCCTCTCCCCTCTCCTCTCCCCCTCTCTCACCCTCTCTCTCCCCCTCTCTCTCCCTCACCCTCTCCCCTCTCTCCCTCCCCTCCCTCTCTCACCCTCTCCCCCTCTCTTTCTCTCCCCCTCTCTCACCCTCTCTCTGTCCCCCTCTCTCTCCCTCCCCCTCTCTCCCCCTCACCCTCTCTCTCTCTCCCTCCCTCCCTCCCCCTCTCCCTCCCCCTCTCCCTCCCTCCCCTGGGTCTATCGCAGCCACAGCACATCTAATCTCTGTTAAATTGCCTCTTCTCTCTGGCCCTCAGCCTCCGCAGTCACAAACAGGCGTGTCCTAATCACATCTCAAAAAGCGATAAAAATACATAGTTAGATTCCCGTTTGCGTCCTGCTTCTGCCTTTATACCCATGGGCAACGCTGCTACGCCTTCAAAACACCGCTCACTTCCAAACGCAGAATCTTAAGTCGATCCCTTTAGCGACGGCTTGTAAATAGTCGCTAACTTTTCTTCGTAAAAATCTACTTTTTGTGTTCGTCTGTCACGGCATCAACAAACAGACTGCGATAAACTATAAAAAACAGGATTTATTGAGAGTAGCAGTAGCTTTGTGTGACTTTACTACGCTGAGTTTAGTGCGATGGTAGTTTGGAGCCAGACGCAGAGAGAATGCTAAGCAGACGCATGGTATAAACACATAGCATGAAGGCGGAACGGGAAAGGTTAAAATGAATATGCATGCGTCGGTAATGCCAGAAGAACACGGAGCAGAGCTGGAGGGAGTTGTTTGGGAAAAGTTAAGTTTGCCTCCTGGGTTTTTCTAATGTCGAACTGTTTAGGTCTAATGTGCACTTATATATACTGTAAAGGTGGCAGTAAAAAGGGAACTGGATCGATGGCATCAACTGAGGAGCTACAACAGCACAGCTAGCCTCAGTCCTGGGTCTACAGCCTCAGTCCTGGTCTACAGCCTCAGCCCTGGGTCTACAGCCTCAGTCCTGGGTCTACAGCCTCAGTCCTGGGTCTACAGCCTCAGTCCTGGGTCTACAGCCTCAGTCCTGGGTCTACAGCCTCAGTCCTGGGTCTACAGCCTCAGTCCTGGGTCTACGGCCTCAGTCCTGGGTCTACAGCCTCAGTCCTGGGTCTACAGCCTCAGTCCTGGGTCTACAGCCTCAGTCCTGGGTCTACAGCCTCAGTCCTGGGTCTACAGCCTCAGTCTTGGGTCTACAACCTCAGTCCGGGATACTCCTCTCTCTCTCCTCCTCCTCCATGTCTCCTCTCTCTCTCCTCCTCCTCCATGTCTCCTCTCTCTCTCCTCCTCCTCCATGTCTCCTCTCTCTCTCGCCTCCTCCTCCATGTCTCCTCTCTCTCTCTCCTCCTCCTCCATGTCTCCTCTCTCTCTCCTCCTCCTCCATGTCTCCTCTCTCTCTCCTCCTCCTCCATGTCTCCTCTCTCTCTCCTCCTCCTCCATGTCTCCTCTCTCTCTCTCCTCCTCCTCCATGTCTCCTCTCTCTCTCCTCCTCCTCCATGTCTCCTCTCTCTCTCCGCCTCCTCCATGTCTCCTCTCTCTCTCCTCCTCCTCCTCCATGTCTCCTCTCTCTCTCCTCCTCCTCCATGTCTCCTCTCTCTCTCGCCTCCTCCTCCATGTCTCCTCTCTCTCTCTCCTCCTCCTCCATGTCTCCTCTCTCTCTCCTCCTCCTCCTCCATGTCTCCTCTCTCTCTCTCCTCCTCCTCCATGTCTCCTCTCTCTCTCTCCTCCTCCTCCATGTCTCCTCTCTCTCTCCTCCTCCTCCATGTCTCCTCTCTCTCTCCTCCTCCTCCTCTATGTCTCCTCTCTCTCTCCTCCTCCTCCATGTCTCCTCTCTCTCTCTCTCCTCCTCCTCCATGTCTCCTCTCTCTCTCCTCCTCCTCCATGTCTCCTCTCTCTCTCCTCCTCCTCCTCCATGTCTCCTCTCTCTCTCCTCCTCCTCCATGTCTCCTCTCTCTCTCCTCCTCCTCCATGTCTCCTCTCTCCTCCTCCTCCTCCTCCTCCATGTCTCCTCTCTCTCTCCTCCTCCTCCATGTCTCCTCTCTCTCTCTCCTCCTCCTCCATGTCTCCTCTCTCTCTCGCCTCCTCCTCCATGTCTCCTCTCTCTCTCTCCTCCTCCTCCATGTCTCTCTCTCTCTCCTCCTCCTCCTCCATGTCTCCTCTCTCTCTCTCCTCCTCCTCCATGTCTCCTCTCTCTCTCTCCTCCTCCTCCATGTCTCCTCTCTCTCTCCTCCTCCTCCATGTCTCCTCTCTCTCTCCTCCTCCTCCTCTATGTCTCCTCTCTCTCTCCTCCTCCTCCATGTCTCCTCTCTCTCTCTCCTCCTCCTCCATGTCTCCTCTCTCTCTCCTCCTCCTCCATGTCTCCTCTCTCTCTCCTCCTCCTCCTCCATGTCTCCTCTCTCTCTCCTCCTCCTCCATGTCTCCTCTCTCTCTCTCTCCTCCTCCTCCATGTCTCCTCTCTCCTCCTCCTCCTCCTCCTCCATGTCTCCTCTCTCTCTCCTCCTCCTCCATGTCTCCTCTCTCTCTCTCCTCCTCCTCCATGTCTCCTCTCTCTCTCCTCCTCCTCCATGTCTCCTCTCTCTCTCCTCCTCCTCCATGTCTCCTCTCTCCTCCTCCTCCTCCTCCATGTCTCCTCTCTCTCTCTCCTCCTCCTCCATGTCTCCTCTCTCCTCCTCCTCCTCCTCCATGTCTCCTCTCTCTCTCTCCTCCTCCTCCATGTCTCCTCTCTCTCTCCTCCTCCTCCATGTCTCCTCTCTCTCTCCTCCTCCTCCTCCATGTCTCTCTCTCTCTCTCCTCCTCCTCCATGTCTCCTCTCTCTCTCTCCTCCTCCTCCATGTCTCCTCTCTCCTCCTCCTCCTCCTCCATGTCTCCTCTCTCTCTCCTCCTCCTCCATGTCTCCTCTCTCTCTCTCCTCCTCCTCCATGTCTCCTCTCTCTCTCGCCTCCTCCTCCATGTCTCCTCTCTCTCTCTCCTCCTCCTCCATGTCTCCTCTCTCTCTCCTCCTCCTCCTCCATGTCTCCTCTCTCTCTCTCCTCCTCCTCCATGTCTCCTCTCTCTCTCTCCTCCTCCTCCATGTCTCCTCTCTCTCTCCTCCTCCTCCATGTCTCCTCTCTCTCTCCTCCTCCTCCTCTATGTCTCCTCTCTCTCTCCTCCTCCTCCATGTCTCCTCTCTCTCTCTCCTCCTCCTCCATGTCTCCTCTCTCTCTCCTCCTCCTCCATGTCTCCTCTCTCTCTCCTCCTCCTCCTCCATGTCTCCTCTCTCTCTCCTCCTCCTCCATGTCTCCTCTCTCTCTCCTCCTCCTCCATGTCTCCTCTCTCCTCCTCCTCCTCCTCCATGTCTCCTCTCTCTCTCCTCCTCCTCCATGTCTCCTCTCTCTCTCCTCCTCCTCCATGTCTCCTCTCTCTCTCCTCCTCCTCCATGTCTCCTCTCTCTCTCCTCCTCCTCCATGTCTCCTCTCTCCTCCTCCTCCTCCTCCATGTCTCCTCTCTCTCTCTCCTCCTCCTCCATGTCTCCTCTCTCCTCCTCCTCCTCCTCCATGTCTCCTCTCTCTCTCTCCTCCTCCTCCATGTCTCCTCTCTCTCTCTCCTCCTCCTCCATGTCTCCTCTCTCTCTCCTCCTCCTCCATGTCTCCTCTCTCTCTCTCCTCCTCCTCCATGTCTCCTCTCTCTCTCCTCCTCCTCCATGTCTCCTCTCTCTCTCCTCCTCCTCCATGTCTCCTCTCTCCTCCTCCTCCTCCTCCATGTCTCTCTCTCTCTCTCTCCTCCTCCTCCATGTCTCCTCTCTCCTCCTCCTCCTCCTCCATGTCTCCTCTCTCTCTCTCCTCCTCCTCCATGTCTCCTCTCTCTCTCTCCTCCTCCTCCATGTCTCCTCTCTCTCCTCCTCCTCCTCCATGTCTCCTCTCTCTCTCTCCTCCTCCATGTCTCCTCTCTCTCCTCCTCCTTTCTTGTGGTTGAAACTCGGAAGAGCAGGTTGTCAGGGGGATACAGAGCAGAGAGAGCTGTGGTTTTATAACATCTGTGGTTTGACCGACATTACAGGCATGAGCGCTCCACTCACCACTGTTGGGAGGAGAGAGAGGAGAGAGGAGAGAGAAGAGGAGGAGGTGGCTGTGGCTGAGGTGAGAGAGAGAGGTGGCTAAGGTAACACAGAGAGAGAGGAGAGAGAGAGGAGGAGCCTGGGGTGAGAGCCAGAAGAGAGAGAGAGAGTGAAGAGGAGGAGGTGGCTGTGGCTGAGAGGAGGAGAGAGGAGGAAAGAGAGAGAGGAGAGAGAGAGGAGGAAAGAGAGAGGAGGAGAGAGACAGAGAGAGAGGAGGGAGAGAGAGAGGAGGAGATAGAGAGGAGGAGAGAGACAGAGAGAGAGAGGAGGAGAGAGACAGAGAGAGAGGAGAGAGAAAGAGAGGAGGAGATAGAGAGAGAGAGGAGGAGATAGAGAGAGAGGGGAGGAGAGAGACAGAGAGAGAGGAGGAGATAGAGAGAGAGGGGAGGAGGAGAGAACGAGGAGGAGAGAGAGGAGGAGAGAGACAGAGAGAGAGGAGGAGATAGAGAGAGAGGGGAGGAGAGAGACAGAGAGAGAGGAGGAGATAGAGAGAGAGGGGAGGAGGAGAGAACGAGGAGGAGAGAGAGGAGGAGAGAGACAGAGAGAGAGGAGGAGATAGAGAGAGAGGGGAGGAGAGAGACAGAGAGAGAGGAGAGAGAGAGAGAGAGAGGAGGAGAGAGAGAGAGAGAGAGAGGAGAGAACAAGGAGGAGAGAGAGAGGAGGAGATAGAGAGAGGAGAGAGAGAGGAGGAGATAGAGAGAGAGAGAGGAGGAGAGAACGAGGAGGAGAGAGAGAGAGAGGAGGAGATAGAGAGAGGAGAGAGAGAGGAGGAGATAGAGAGAGAGAGAGGAGAGAGAGAGAGAGAGAGATGAGGTGGTGGATCCAGAGATATTCACAGACGTTTCTCACTGTGTCTGTCTCTGTCTGTAGTGTGACTCGGTACCTGTGACTGTACTCACAGAATGTGTTGGTGAGAAAACGTTTATGTTGCTTTTTTATGTTTCAAAACAGATTCAGGTTATTTGCCATTTGCAGTAAAACCACCTTGGAATACATGTGCAAGAGTCAAGTACAGTGTGCATTTGGCAAGTACAGAAATAACACAAGATAAAGAAGAGCAAGAAAAAACTGTCACTGTGAAACTAATCAACCCTCTTTGGTCTCTCTCTGGTCTCTCTCTCTGGTCTCTCTCTCTGGTCTCTCTTTGGTCTCTCTCTGGTCTCTCTCTGGTCTCTCTCTGATCTCTCTCTTTGGTCTCTCTCTGGTCTCTCTCTGGTCTCTCTCTGGTCTCTCTCTGGTCTCTCTCTGGTCTCTCTCTCTGGTTCTCTCTCTGGTCTCTCTCTCTGGTCTCTCTCTGGTCTCTCTCTGGTCTCTCTCTGGTCTCTCTCTGGTCTCTCTCTCTGGTCTCTCTCTCTGGTCTCTCTCTGGTCTCTCTCTCTGGTCTCTCTCTCTGGTCTCTCTCTCTGGTCTCTCTCTGGTCTCTCTCTGGTCTCTCTCTGGTCTCTCTCTCTGGTCTCTCTCTCTGGTCTCTCTCTCTGGTCTCTCTCTCTGGTCTCTCTCTCTGGTCTCTCTCTGGTCTCTCTCTGGTCTCTCTCTGGTCTCTCTCTGGTCTCTCTCTCTGGTCTCTCTCTGGTCTCTCTCTCTGGTCTCTCTCTGGTCTCTCTCTCTGGTCTCTCTCTGGTCTCTCTCTGGTCTCTCTCTGGTCTCTCTCTGGTCTCTCTCTCGTCTCTCTCTGGTCTCTCTCTCTGGTCTCTCTCTGGTCTCTCTCTGGTCTCTCTCTGGTCTCTCTCTCTGGTCTCTCTCTCTGGTCTCTCTCTCTGGTCTCTCTCTCTGGTCTCTCTCTGGTCTCTCTCTCTGGTCTCTCTCTGGTCTCTCTCTCTGGTCTCTCTCTGGTCTCTCTCTGGTCTCTCTCTGGTCTCTCTCCGGTCTCTCTCTGGTCTCTCTCTCTGGTCTCTCTCTGGTCTCTCTCTGGTCTCTCTCTGGTCTCTCTCTCTGGTCTCTCTCTGGTCTTTCTCTGGTCTCTCTCTGGTCTCTCTCTGGTCTCTCTCTCTGGTCTCTCTCTGGTCTCTCTCTCTGGTCTCTCTCTGGTCTCTCTCTGGTCTCTCTCTGGTCTCTCTCTGGTCTCTCTCTGGTCTCTCTCCCTGGTCTCTCTCTGGTCTCTCTCTGGTCTCTCTCTGGTCTCTCTCTCTGGTCTCTCTCTCTGGTCTCTCTCTCTGGTCTCTCTCTGGTCTCTCTCTGGTCTCTCTCTGGTCTCTCTCTCTGGTCTCTCTCTCTGGTCTCTCTCTGGTCTCTCTCCCTGGTCTCTCTCTCTGGTTTCTCTCTGGTCTCTCTCTGGTCTCTCTCTCTGGTCTCTCTCTGGTCTCTCTCTGGTCTCTCTCTCTGGTCTCTCTCTCTGGTCTCTCTCTCTGGTCTCTCTCTCTGGTCTCTCTCTGGTCTCTCTCTCTGGTCTCTCTCTGGTCTCTCTCTGGTCTCTCTCTGGTCTCTCTCTGGTCTCTCTCTCTGGTCTCTCTCTGGTCTCTCTCTCTGGTCTCTCTCTGGTCTCTCTCTGGACTCTCTCTCTGGTCTCTCTCTCTGGTCTCTCTCTGGTCTCTCTCTCTGGTCTCTCTCTCTGGTCTCTCTCTGGTCTCTCTCTGGTCTCTCTCTGGTCTCTCTCTGGTCTCTCTCTGGTCTCTCTCTCTGGTCTCTCTCTCTGGTCTCTCTCTCTGGTCTCTCTCTCTGGTCTCTCTCTGGTCTCTCTCTCTGGTCTCTCTCTGGTCTCTCTCTCTGGTCTCTCTCTCTGGTCTCTCTCTCTGGTCTCTCTCTCTGGTCTCTCTCTCTGGTCTCTCTCTGGTCTCTCTCTGGTCTCTCTCTGGTCTCTCTCTCTGGTCTCTCTCTCTGGTCTCTCTCTCTGGTCTCTCTCTCTGGTCTCTCTCTCTGGTCTCTCTCTCTGGTCTCTCTCTGGTCTCTCTCTGGTCTCTCTCTCTGGTCTCTCTCTCTGGTCTCTCTCTCTGGTCTCTCTCTCTCTGGTCCAAACACAGTGCACTTTGGCTCCAAACGAGTCCAAAGCCGGAGACCGCGGTGGAAGCGGCGTGAGGCTAATGGTTGTTTCCGGTCGCAGAAGTAGGACGAGAAAACAGGTCAGAGTCAAAGGAATAACAGACGTGTGGAGCAGAGATGGAAACGAAGTGACAAAGAAAGTGTCCTTGGTTTTGGAATTCACAACATTTTTTAGGCCAAAAAAACAAGAAATGAGCTGCAGGTGAAAAAGCAGAGTCAGAGCTGGAACCCAGAGTAATTTTGACCATTCCACAAATAATAAGAAATACTTTTATTACCAGAGAGAGACCAGAGAGACCAGAGAGACCAGAGAGAGACCAGAGAGACCAGAGAGACCAGAGAGAGACCAGAGAGACCAGAGAGACCAGAGAGACCAGAGAGAGAACAGAGAGAGACCAGAGAGAGACCAGAGAGACCAGAGAGAGAACAGAGAGAGACCAGAGAGAGACCAGAGAGAGAGACCAGAGAGAGACCAGAGAGAGAGACCAGAGAGAGACCAGAGAGACCAGAGAGACCAGAGAGACCAGAGAGACCAGAGAGAGACCAGAGAGAGAGAGACCAGAGAGACCAGAGAGACCAGAGAGAGACCAGAGAGACCAGAGAGACCAGAGAGACCAGAGAGACCAGAGAGAGACCAGAGAGAGACCAGAGACCAGAGAGAGAACAGAGAGAGACCAGAGAGAGACCAGAGAGAGACCAGAGAGAGACCAGAGAGAGAGACCAGAGAGAGACCAGAGAGAGACCAGAGAGAGAGACCAGAGAGAGACCAGAGAGAGAGACCAGAGAGAGACCAGAGAGAGACCAGAGAGACCAGAGAGAGACCAGAGAGAGACCAGAGAGAGACCAGAGAGAGACCAGAGAGACCAGAGAGAGACCAGAGAGAGACCAGAGAGAGACCAGAGAGAGAGACCAGAGAGAGACCAGAGAGAGACCAGAGAGAGACCAGAGAGAGACCAGAGAGAGACCAGAGAGAGACCAGAGAGACCAGAGAGACCAGAGAGAGAAACTAGAGAAAGACCAGAGTCGAGCTAAGTCTAAGGAGCTAGGTCTAAGGAGCTAGGTCTAAGGAGCTAGGTCTAAGGAGCTAGGTCTAAGGAGCTAGGTCTAAGGAGCTAGGTCTAAGGAGCTAGGTCTAAGGAGCTAGGTCTAAGAAGCTAGGTCTAAGGAGCTAGGTCTAAGGAGCTAGGTCTAAGGAGCTAGGTCTAAGAAGCTAGGTCTAAGAAGCTAAGTCTAAGGAGCTAGGTCTAAGGAGCTAGGTCTAAGGAGCTAAGTCTAAGGAGCTAGGTCTAAGGAGCTAGGTCTAAGAAGCTAGGTCTAAGGAGCTAGGTCTAAGGAGCTAGGTCTAAGGAGCTAGGTCTAAGGAGCTAGGTCTAAGGAGCTAAGTCTAAGGAGCTAAGTCTAAGGAGCTAGGTCTAAGGAGCTAGGTCTAAGGAGCTAAGTCTAAGGAGCTAAGTCTAAGGAGCTAGGTCTAAGGAGCTAGGTCTAAGGAGCTAGGTCTAAGGAGCTAGGTCTAAGGAGCTTGGTCTAAGGAGCTAAGTCTAAGGAGCTAGGTCTAAGGAGCTAGGTCTAAGGAGCTAGGTCTAAGGAGCTAGGTCTAAGGAGCTAGGTCTAAGGAGCTAGGTCTAAGAAGCTAGGTCTAAGGAGCTAGGTCTAAGGAGCTAGGTCTAAGGAGCTAGGTCTAAGAAGCTAGGTCTAAGGAGCTAGGTCTAAGGAGCTAAGTCTAAGGAGCTAGGTCTAAGAAGCTAGGTCTAAGGAGCTAAGTCTAAGGAGCTAAGTCTAAGGAGCTAGGTCTAAGGAGCTAGGTCTAAGGAGCTAAGTCTAAGGAGCTAAGTCTAAGGAGCTAGGTCTAAGGAGCTAGGTCTAAGGAGCTAGGTCTAAGGAGCTAGGTCTAAGGAGCTAGGTCTAAGAAGCTAGGTCTAAGGAGCTAGGTCTAAGAAGCTAAGTCTAAGGAGCTAAGTCTAAGAAGCTAGGTCTAAGAAGCTAGGTCTAAGGAGCTAGGTCTAAGGAGCTAAGTCTAAGGAGCTAAGTCTAAGGAGCTAGGTCTAAGGAGCTAGGTCTAAGGAGCTAGGTCTAAGGAGCTAGGTCTAAGGAGCTAGGTCTAAGGAGCTAGGTCTAAGGAGCTAGGTCTAAGGAGCTAGGTCTAAGGAGCTAGGTCTAAGGAGCTAGGTCTAAGGAGCTAGGTCTAAGAAGCTAAGTCTAAGGAGCTAAGTCTAAGAAGCTAGGTCTAAGAAGCTAATGTCCAGGCCTTTGATGAAGAACAATGCAGAACAATGTAAACAAAGCACATAATAAGGAGTCAGAGTTGTTTTCGTGCTGAAGGCACTTGTTGAATCACTGCTTTCATGTGGTCCTTTCCCTCGCAGCGTCTGAACATTTAATAACCTCATTCTGCATATTTATCCAGAGTGTGTAAATATTAGCAGGAGGCGGAGGGTCCACACGCCGCTGGGGCCTCGCTCTCTCTGTCGGAGCAGGAAACCACCGCTAACTATCAAGTGTTTTATTTACATTATATTTACACAGAGAGAGAGACGGGAGGATCCAGGACATTTACATTTATACACATTGGTCTCTGCTCTTCATGGACTCGGGCTGGGACATGGGAGTGACATTGTTAAAAACCTCCTTTAAATCTCGGTCTCCTCCCTCAGTGTGGCTTTCATCGAGGTTTCTTTCTTTTTCCCCCTGGTGCCAGTGCCTTAAAGGAGACATACTGTGCTTAATTATTCAAGACATGAATGGATCTGAACAGGAAGAGAAAGAATTCTTCAGGTTTTACCCAGTTTGAGTCAGGACATAGGGGCTGGTGCTCTGTGTACTCAGAAATGGATTAAGGGGAAGAAAAGGGATAGATGGAGGCAGGGGCATTTAGTCATGAGGGCCAGAAGTTACTGATATTGGTGTGGATGGAGTGAAAACAAGCCCAGGGTGTGTAGGATGAGGAACAAGGGAGTGACATGGTTAAACGCCTCCTTTAACCCTCAGTGTGGCCTTCACTGAGGTTTCTCTCTTTTCCCACTGGGTTTAAGGACAGAGACGATCCAGGACCAACGTCTTCATGTGTTTTTATCTGTGTTGGTGAATCGACAGCTCTGTAAAGTCCTCAGAGATAACCACAGTTGTGATTTAGGGCGATATATCGACACAGGAACGTCACTGTTGACTATTCTAAAGATCAAGTTGTTTGTGTTTTGTTTCGAGCCAAAAATCTGAGATTGAGGCGATAGGATTTCAGGATGGTCCCGGGACAGGACCTGATGCAGGACGTATCCTCATAGATTTAATTAAATTCAATGTATTTTTGTATCGCCCTAAATCACATCTGTAGTTATCACTGAAGACTTTACAAAGCTGTCGATTCTCCAACACAGATCAGAGAAACAGTTCAGAGACGTTGGTCCATGAGGAGCAGAACGTGGAGAGTCCTGGATCGTCTCTGTCCTTAAACCCAGCGGGAAAAGAGAAACCTCAGTGAAGGCCACACTGAGGGTTAAAGGAGGCGTTTAACCATGTCACTCCCTTGTTCCTCATCCTACACACCCTGGAGTTGTTTTTCACTCCATCCACACCAATATAACTTCTGGCCCTCCTGACTAAATGATTCTGACTCAAACCTGGTAAATCTTGGAGAATTCTTACTGTTATTTCCTGTTCAAATCCAGTCATGTCTTGAACAGACATAGTTGTAAGAATACTTTAGCATGGTCTCCTTTAAGGCCCTGGTATCGTGTAATCACCACCAGGAGGAGAAACTACAGCTGCAGCTAACACTGAGGCGTTTACATTACTGTCTGTTAAAGTTTACTGTCCACAGTCCAGTAAACTAATACTATTAAAGTTTCATGTTAGAATAGAACACCCTGAGTTTATGCTGAATTCTCCAAACGCTGTCAGTGTCTTCGCTGAGACCTCTGCCTCTGAACAGAACTTTGAGTGTTTTATTTTTGATGAGGCCATGTTTAAAAGATGAGAGTGAATATTTGAAGGAGGTGGAGAGGTTTGCAGCGAGATATCCTCCTTTAGCCAAACACTGCCTCAGTTTATCACAGACACCTCTGAACAAACCACAACAAACAGGAACCAGGACAGAGGGACCTCTCTGGTGCAGGAGGCCAGGACAGAGGGACCTCTCTGGTGCAGGAGAGCAGGACAGAGGGACCTCTCTGGTGCAGGAGAGCAGGACAGAGGGACCTCTCTGGTGCAGGAGAGCAGGACAGAGGGACCTCTCTGGTGCAGGAGAGCAGGACAGAGGGACCTTCTGGCTCTGGTGCAGGAGACCAGGACAGAGGGACCTCTCTGGTGCAGGAGGCCAGGACAGAGGGACCTCTCTGGTGCAGGAGACCAGGACAGAGGGACCTCTCTGGTGCAGGAGACCAGGACAGATGGACCTCTCTGGTGCAGGAGACCAGGACAGAGGGACCTCTCTGGTGCAGGAGAGCAGGACAGAGGGACCTCTCTGGTGCAGGAGACCAGGACAGAGGGACCTCTCTGGTGCAGGAGGCCAGGACAGAGGGACCTCTCTGGTGCAGGAGACCAGGACAGAGGGACCTCTCTGGTGCAGGAGACCAGGACAGATGGACCTCTCTGGTGCAGGAGGCCAGGACAGAGGGACCTCTCTGGTGCAGGAGACCAGGACAGAGGGACCTCTCTGGTGCAGGAGACCAGGACAGAGGGACCTCTCTGGTGCAGGAGACCAGGACAGAGGGACCTCTCTGGTGCAGGAGACCAGGACAGAGGGACCTCTCTGGTGCAGGAGAGCAGGACAGAGGGACCTCTCTGGTGCAGGAGACCAGGACAGAGGGACCTCTCTGGTGCAGGAGAGCAGGACAGAGGGACCTCTCTGGTGCAGGAGACCAGGACAGAGGGACCTCTCTGGTGCAGGAGACCAGGACAGAGGGACCTCTCTGGTGCAGGAGACCAGGACAGAGGGACCTCTCTGGTGCAGGAGGCCAGGACAGAGGGACCTCTCTGGTGCAGGAGACCAGGACAGAGGGACCTCTCTGGTGCAGGAGACCAGGACAGAGGGACCTCTCTGGTGCAGGAGACCAGGACAGAGGGACCTCTCTGGTGCAGGAGACCAGGACAGAGGGACCTCTCTGGTGCAGGAGACCAGGACAGAGGGACCTCTCTGGTGCAGGAGACCAGGACAGAGGGACCTCTCTGGTGCAGGAGACCAGGACAGAGGGACCTCTCTGGTGCAGGAGACCAGGACAGAGGGACCTCTCTGGTGCAGGAGACCAGGACAGAGGGACCTCTCTGGTGCAGGA